CTACTGAGTGGCATGGATGCCCAAAAGAACAATTGAGCCAGGCTCTTAGGATTGGCTGCTTACCCTCTGTGGGCATGCCAAACACATCAAGGTTTCCATAGAGAGTGCGGCTCAAACCTCTCAAAGTCCTGCAGCAGACGAACAAGTGGTCAGACTGTGAGCTGCCTACCTCCTGGTCCTCTCTGGTGCTGCTTGCCTGGCTGCACCAGCAGAACAGGGCATACCCTGAAGTGGAGAGACATTGAGCCTGGTTGAGTGCTCCATGTGCAACTTGGAACCAGCATGCTTCACCCTGTTTGCCAATGATATGATATAGAAAACACTAAAAACTTTACCAAAAGATTCCTGGAATTGATGAATAAATTCAGCAAAGTCTTGAGTTACAAAATCAATATACATAAATCAGTAGCATTTCTATACAATAATAACAGTCAAGTGAAGAGTCAAATCAAAGACTCAATATCATTCATAATAGTTACAAAGAAAATAAAATACCTGGGAATATACTGAACAAAGGATGTTAAAGATCTCTGCGAGGAGAACTATAAAACACTGAGGAAAGAAATTGCAAATGACACAAAAAAATGGAAAACTATCCCTTGATCATAGATTGGTAGAGTCAACATTGTTAAAATTTCCATACTGCTCAAAGTGATTTACAAATTCTACATAATCCTCATCAATATATCAGTGTCACGTTTCACATAACTAGGAAAAATAATCTTAAACTTCATTTGAAACCAATAAAGAAACCTAATAGCCAAAACAATCTTAAATAAAAAGAACAAACCTTGGACCATCACATTATCTGACTTCAAATTATACTATAAGTCTATAGTAACCAAAACAGCATTGCAGTGGTATCAGAGTAGAGACATAGATCAATGGAACAGACTAAGGAACCCAGATATGAGATCATCTACCTACAACGGCCTAATTCTTGAGAAAACTGAAAACAACATGAACTGGGGAAAGGAAGTCCTTATCAATAAATGGTGTTGGGAAAATTGGAGAGCCACATGCATAAGAATAAAATAGGACTCCAGTCTCTCGTAATATATGGAGATTAGTTCAAGATGGATTAAAGACTTAAATGTAGGGCATGAATAAATAAAACTTCCAGAAGAAAACATAGGGAAAACTCTTTTAGACATTGGCCTTGCCTGATGTGTTTATGATTTATGATAAGCATTTATGATTAAGACCACAAAAGCAAATATAGCGACAATAAAAATAAACAATTAAATGAGAATTATTAAAAATTAAATTGAAAAGATTCTTGACAGCAACAAATAATCAACAGAGTAAATAAACAACCTACAGAATGGGAGAAAATATTTGCAAACTGTACATCTGAAAATGGACTGATAATCAAGAACAACAACAAACTCAAACAGATCAGCAGGAAAAAAAATAAATGATCCCATCAAAAAGTGGGCTAAAGACATGAACAGAAGTTTTTCAAAGATAAACCAATGGCCAATAACATATGAAAAAATGCTCAACATCACTAATCATCAGGGAAATGCAAATTAAAATCACAATGAGATATCGTCTTACCCCATCAGACTGGCCATTATTAAAAAAATCAAAAACAATAGATGCTAGTGTGGATGCAGAGAGAAAAACACTGTATACTCTTCGTAGCACTATAAATTGGTATAACCTATATGGAAAACAGTATAGAGATTCCTCCAAGAACTACTTACCATTTGATCCAGCAATCCCACTTCTGGATGACTACCCTAAGGAAAGAAATTCATTTTATCAAAACAACACATGAGCTTGAATGTTAATTGAAGCACAATTCACAATTGCAATGATGCCATGAACCATCAGTTCATGAGTGGATAAAGACAATGTGGTACATATATACTACAGAGTACTAACTCAGCCATGAACAAAGAATGAAGTAATGTCATTGAAACAAATTGGATGGAACTGGAGACCATTATCCTAAGTCAAGCATGTCAAAAAGGGAAAAGCAAACACCACATATTCTCACTAATAACTAGGAGCTAATTAAAAGAAATATAAAGGACATAAGAAATCAAGAAGTGGGGAGGGTAGGAGGATGAGAGGATGGGTGAGGGATAAAAACTCACTTATTGGGTACAATCAACACTATTCTGGTGTTGGACACACCAAAAGCCCTGACTTAAGCATTATATAATATAGATATAATTAATAATAATTAATAATTTGAAATTTAAACAGAATAAAAGTTTTATAATTGAAATCATTGCTGCTTTATTTTTTATAAGACAAATAATTTTTAAATCTAATAATTACTTTTTTGATGAGTCCATCAATCAAATAGTGTGCCCTCAAATATAACTGTGGAAAATTTTTAAGTTGCTACTTAATGAAAAATTCTTCCTTGAAACAAATAAAAATATACCTCACAAAATGCGTTTTTGATAACAAATCACATTTTCATTTTATTAAATAAATTAAGAAACAAAATTTTATTGATATAAATGTCTTCCTCCTAGACTTATAGGCTACTACTTGATTAAAATTGCTAGGCAAGGTATCTAGTGATCCCCAGATTTCTAATCCAGTGGTTAGTTGTTACTCTTCCTCATATTTAATAAACATTATAATGTGACACATTTGATTATGGCCTCTTTCTTGCAACATGTTTGTTCCTTTGTTTTCAATGTACTATATACTACTCTGATTATTCTCCCATTTTTCTTGTTACTCCTTCTCATTTTCCTCTGCTGATTTCTCCCAATGTCTCTCTGACCTCTAAAATTAGAGATCCAGGGTTCAGTCCCCCTAACTCTTGCCTATCTTTACCCACTATTTGAAATTCCATTTACTTTCTTCCCCATTTGTGCCTGTATATCCATCTTTGTACTATTAGCTTCCAAATTTCTATCTCTGACCCAGATCTCCTCCGGACTCATGTATAACTCCTGATAACTCCACTTGGATGACTAATAGATATTTAAACCTAATATATCAGCAACCCAAACAACAGTGAAAACCACTTTCAAACCTGTAAACTTCTTTCCTCCCTTCCCAAACTCTCTTTTCACATTTTCCTCATCTCATAAATGATGGCTTTTTGTAACATTCTCAGGCCTAAAGACTTGGATACATCTTTAGCCACTCACACTCCTACCAAAAATCTTCTTTGCTCTACCCTTAAAATATATCTGGATTCTAACTTCTCACCACCCCCATCATTATCATTCTCTTATAAGTCACAAACGTCTCCCACATGATGGCAACAAGCTACCAACCCCTTTTGCTTAGATTGTTGCTATAGCCTCCTAACTGACTCACTGCTTCTTATTTTGTACAATTACTTTCTATTTTTGACAATGCGACCAGAGTAAATTTTTCCAAACATCCCACATCACTTTACTGCTCTATTCAAAATCTTCCAAAGGCTCTGATCCCTTCCCAATCCGGTCCCATCCCTTCTCTGTCCCTTTATTTTCAACTTGCTCATTCTGCCCTGGTATAACACATTCCTCACTATTCCTCTATTTCAGCCGGCAGCTTGCAGCCTCAGCCTCTCTACTGGGACTGCCTCCTTGCCTGGATTCCCAGATAAGCTTAACCACTTCAGTACGGCACTCGCCAGCCGGGAAACCTTGCCAGCCAGCACTCATAGTCCGCCGATAGTCTGTGCTGCGCATTTGAAGACAAATCTGTTTTGCTCTTGTGTGACGAGGAAAGCTTTAAAGCTTTACTGAAAGCTTGTTTTACTTTACAGGAAGCTTCACTTGTAATGTAAATCAGAATAGGTAACATATACATATATGTTTTCATTACGTTATTTTTAAATGTTCACAATTTTATTTTGATAAATGAAAAATTAGAAAAGTCAAGTTTTGTTATTAAAGCTAAAGACGACGATCGGCCGCATGCCTTCGTATCATGGCTGTTGGCTAAAGTCGATGCTAGGCTATGCGTGTTCATCTGTGGCTATCAACTATAGTCGCTGCTGGGCTGTGCGCATTCATATGTGGCTGTCCACGATAGTCCACCTTCTTACCGAAGTGGTTAAGACTTGCTCCACTCTACTACCTCATTGAGTTCTCGGATTAAAAGCACCTCTTAAATGAGATCTTCATTAACTACTTTATTTTAAAATGGAACCCTATAACCCCTTAGATCTGCTTGTTTCCTCCCTATGCCCTGTTTTATTTTTTAATCACTTATCATTATCTTACATTTTATGCATTTTTATTTATTGGTTGCTTATTGTCTATCTTACCTCACCAAAATATACACTCCATGAGACAGGTATTTTTGTGTTCTTAATGTCTGCTCTATTCCAGTGCCTATCAGAGTGAATGATACATCCTGATCAATAAATACTTTGAAAACAATTGAATGCAACTTACTTCATTTTAATACATGTTAGATGTGGGCCAATTGTTGCTTCTCTCATGAGAAAATGTTGAACTAATGGCAGCCATGTATGTTTACTCAAGTAAAATTCTCAAGTCCATGAGACTATATCTGCAAACTTTTAAGTAAGAGAAGCACTGGCATAAAACTTATTTGCATGGACACTGGAGTTTACAAATTTGGTTCAAAAGCATTTTTTCTTATTCTTTTTGAAGTAATCTGAATAAGAAGCATAATAAAACCTGGGATAAAACTAGTAGGAAGGTGCAGCTAAATAATTTATAATACTGCTAAGATTATTTCTAATTTTTATTTCAGAATATTTTGGGGGTTCGAAAGTTTTGGTTACATAAATTGCTTTTGTACTGTTTGAGTCAAAGTTATAAGCATGCCCATCCCCAAGATAATGTGCGTTCTACCCATTAGGTGTGAATTTAATTTTTAAGGATTTTAGTTTTCTTGATATTAGGGTGAAAACTATGAGAAAATTCCTTTAATTATCTTTCTTGATCAAAAATAAAATTTAATGTATTGCAAATAAAATATATGTCTGTTTTAGGCCATCTTTCCTGAATACTTTCTTTTTATATCTAGAATTTTCATAAGTACTAAACATGTGAGAGTTATGGTTTATTTTCAGGGTGAGTATATGAAAGATTAATATTCTCTGTTTTAATTAAAGACATATGCATAAGCTTTGGCACTTGATCAGACATTGGGTCTGATTAAGAATGTTTTGTAAAGTGTAGGCCTGACAGTTGGCTTCATTCATACTTTTATGGAAGTGAGGCTATGAAGATAGGCTTACAGTGAATTGGGAGAAGAATATGATTCAATACAACCATGCCTCAATGCAACCACATCTGAAAAGGATATCTCCAAGCTAGATTTGTTTATTAAACAATCATCATTGAATACCTCTGTGTCCCCAGGCACAGAGGGTGAGAAGATGAAATACAACAGTCCATGCTTCCACCAAACACAAAGCCATGTTTCTTTTTGAAAGCCTGTGCTCCTATCAGCTGCCCCAGGAATAACTGAGCAGAGAAATATGACTTGTCACCACTTCCACTAGAGGTGATTTTCCTCCTGCAACTTTTACTAAGGAAAGTAAAATCAAGGAACGTAAGCACTGTCTTTATTCTCAATTTAAAAAAACCTTCATAAACAATTATTTTAAGTCACATTGGCTTATATGCAATATTTACATTGTATGACTAGATCTCTTAAACTATTAAACTACATTGATAACTCACAAAATCTTATGTTAGAGTGAATAAGTGAAGACATGGCATGTGATTCACAAAAGGTCCCTTGAGTCCACAGCCATACTACCCTGAACGTGCTAGATCTGGGAAGTTAAGTGGGGTTGGGCCTGGTTACTACTTAGGAGCCCAAAAGGTCCCTTGACTGTTGATTTAATGGTAAAATGCTGAAAGTAGTATGTGCCTCATATGTAAAGAAAAAAAAACAAAACAGAAAGATAAGCATCTGGAGCAAATACTTTGATAAATGAAGAATTTCCATATTCACAAGCAAAGGCAGCTTTCCTCTGTGTGGAAAAATCTCATTAGTATTTCAAAAGTAATAAGCTGATAACTTGATCAAACTGTCCCCGGAAGATAAAGTGTCATATATATAAATGCAGTTCATCTATGAACAACTTTGTTTTCTGTCTTTATAAAAAACAGAGATTCTCATCATTTTCTTTGACAGGGAATAAAAATAGAACAATATAAAAAGCACCATTCCTTTAATGAAGATTTTTTTATTAGAAACCTCAGTGTTTCAAAGTTCTGCTGACGTTTGTGCCTTCTAATTTTAATGGTGCAGCTTTATCTTTTGGGTAGAGTGCTCTGACACAGAACCCAATTTATATTTGCCTAATTAGAACTCAGAGGTGGAGGAGATGCGGGAGATCTCTTGAACTTTTTGCCTGTTTGCCAAATCCCATCCCTTTCATGGCTATAATTCAAAATCCTTAATTGAATGAAAATTTTATTTAAGGTCTTCTAGTTAAAAATATATATAAAGAGAGAAAAATGATGACAAACTGTAACCAAGAGTACGCTGTACTGATTTTATCTGCAAACTTAAGTGTTGCCATATGTGTGTGTGTGTGTGTGTGTATGTGTGTATTCCACAATATGAAATTGGCTTAGGGATGAAAATATCAAATAGATGTTCACTTGAACCTCTTACAGAGTATCAACTGAAAAGTCACTAAAGCTGAAAGTTGTTTAGTCTTTTAGTCCTTTAAAATAATTTAGAATAAAAAGTACAGCTAAGTAAGTATATTCAGGGTCCCCCTTGGATGCCACTTCGTTTAAGGCTTTCATATTTCTCACTCTCCTTCCTCCTATTGGTTTTGTTCCTGGATCACACCCAAGACATCTGCTCAGCCGTGCTGTAGTCTTTAAATATGATGATGCTGAAATTGGTGAGACATAGCACTTAGCCCTGGGACTAGGTTTTATAATATAGCCCACTGTTACTTACCATGACCCTCCTATTCATTTGCTAAGCAGATGGCTAGGATTAGGGGCACATCTGTAACCATGAAAGAAATGTGTCTTTGGTGTAATCCCAACTGGCCTAAATAGGGAATGAAATCCTGGTCCTCACCTTGTTTAGCCCTTACTCTAACAAAACAAGATAATAAGTCCAGGTGCAAAGTCAATAAATTAATGAAACACTAGTTTATGTCCAAAAAGAAAATAATCAGGTTCAGAATGGTATTTTTGTGTGTGTGGCAATATTTATTCAAGCCAAAATCTCTGAAGGAAAATGTTAAAAGCTTCAAAAGTAAAGAACAAAAGTTAGGTCATTAAAAAAAATTCTTAATGAAGAATAGCCGAAATATTGTAGACAGTTACACAAAGTAGCCAAGAGAGAGACACAATTTGGAAGTCTAGCAGTGGTGCCACATTGAGATATGAAAGCCAGATCAAGTTACCATGGACCATAATGTTGAGCACCATGCTAAGTGTTTAACATATATTATGTCATTTCATTCTTAAAATATCCCTCCAAGGTAAATCTCTTTATCCTCATATTACAGGCTGAAGAGTCTGGGACTTAGAGAGGTTAAGTGGCTCTCTCAAGATCCCAAACATCTCCACAAGTTGACATTCTTAAGAACTTAAAGAGAATGAACTAAGAAATAAAGTCAACAAGTAAGAAAGAATGGCATCCCTGAAGTGCCTACATTTTAAAAGCGTTAAAGAAAAAAAGGCAGGCATGTACTGGAGCGTATTATAAAAGAGGTAGCTGCAAAAGATACAAGGCAGTATGTGTGCTTTCAGGTTAGCTTGTTGTGCCAGACATTTACATTTATTTATGTGTTTACACACATGGGTGACATCTTGGTGCTGACATCTGTGGGCGAAAATGTGTAGGGCACCTTCTGAATGTAGATAACATATGCTCCAGCAGCTGGTTCTAAAATAAATGACAATAAAAGCAGCAATTGAGCCATGCAATAATGACAAAAGAAACAGGAGGCAGTGCCTTGAGATACTGGATAAAATCACCTCATTAAGATTCAGGCAATTGTTGATGTTTGAGTATTAAATATTTCATTTAGGGAAAAGGTGGAAATGGATGTCTATACTAGAAATATTTATACAAAGACAAAGCTGAATATCCCAGTGAATCTCACAATGTAGGCTAAATTTACAGTATGTATATCTGTATATAAAAACATAATGCACATGTATATGTATATAATATTATTTTATCTATTAAAGCACATATATAGTACACATATACCTATATGCAAAATTGCCATCTAATACTGTAAATATAAATATATATGTATAAATTAATTTAACTATCATATGTTATTTATACATAATTATTTTAACTTTATTATAGCTTTTATATATATAAATTGGTTTAGATATTGTATATCTTAGATGCTACATATGATATAAGATTACCCCTTGTAGTCAAGTTTACATTTTCTCCTTAATATTTTTTTATAAGATCGAAGAGGAAATTTTTGATATTCCTTTCTTTTAATTATTCAGTGTGTTTAGGACTTATTACTATGCTATCAATATCTGTTTCTCCACCTAGACTCTATGACATCTGGAACCCCATGTATCTGTATGTACTATTGATTTCCTGCACCTAGCACTGAGACTCAAATATTATTGAATCAATAAATAAGAATAACAAGACATACGATAACTAAAACCAAAAAATTAGAGAAGGATGGTAACAAAATAATACCGATTCCTGCTCAACAATTATTGGGAGCTAATATACAAGAATTTATGTTAACAATCTTCCTTTCCTAATTTCTTGAGGCAGAAGTTTAGATGACTAATTTTAAATCTTTCCTCTTTTCTATGGCCATATATTTAAAGCCATATATTTTCCAGCTTTTGCTGCATGCCACAAAGCTTAAAGGGTATGTTTTCACTATCATTCAATTCAAAATATTTCCTAATTTCTTTTGATATCACCATGTGTGCTCCGCATCCAATAGTTATGAATACACCCATCCCCTCCGCATCTAATAGTTATGAATTTATCCTCCCACCTGCCCTGCACCCAATGAATATTACTTCCATGTGTGCACCTAAGTGTTGGTCAGTTAGTACCAATTTGATGGTGAGTACACGTGGTGCTTGTTTCTCCATTCTTGTGATGTTTCACTTCAAAGAACAGGCTTTAGCTCCAACCAGGATAACTAACACAAGAGGTGCTAGTTCACCAACTAGCACACTGGCAGCCCTTCTTTCCACTCCTTTTCTCTTAAAATTTGTTCTCCACACAAATTGTAGAGTAGTCTTTTTTAAAGTTCTAATCATATGCCACCACTCCTTTACCTAAAACTAGTATTTGAATAAATTTCAAAATCTTTACTATGTCATACAAGGCTCCCGTGATCTGCACTCCCATTCACTGTTTACTTGCCTCTTGTTTTGGTCTTTTTCTTTGCTATTTTATCATTATGTCATCTTCACTATTTTATATTGTAATATATATTTATTGCTTTTCTTATTTATTGCATGCTTGATACGTGAGAAAGTAAGTTCGTGAAGGTGAAGGAATAGCCTCGTTTTTATCTCAACACAAGAGAAACTTAGTATTCCTTGGTGAATGAATGAATGATGGCTAGAGTTTTATTTGCATAATAGTCTGTGCCAAATGCAAGCTAGAGTGATGCTGTTATGGACCATCCATTCCCTTTAATGTCTGGGCTGCTTTCAAGTCAGGGTGGCACTTTCATTTTTCTGTCATTTGGCTTGCCATGTATTAAAATAAACCCATTTACTACGTATAATTAACACTGTTTAATAGAATCAAATAAAATTGTAAATGCTCCTAAGAGCTGATAAATATCTTAAGAATTATCAGGCCAGATATTAACAGAAGATGAACTCACTGAAAAGTAAACTGATAACACAAGCTTCTTCCACTCCTAGCAAATCTGAAGAACTTGAGCTGTAGTTTAAAAAATATTTGGATAAATGAACAGATGATAATTCCTGTAGGTAAAGAGATTGAGGAATCTAATGGAAGAATTTTCTTCAATAATGCTTGGACTTGGATACTCCTAGTGTCAAAATGACCCCAAAATAAATCAACAGGAACCCCAACTCTCAGGGGATTTCAGGGAAAGTTACTTTGCTATAGAACAAAATGGAAAAAAATATTTCCAAGATATCATGATAACAAACCAGCCCACTTGTATATTTTAGGCCAAATTAGACCACATTATCAAGGTGGTCCAAGAAATTCAAGAAGTAAACTTAAAGTTTTCCTGGGTTAATAAGACCACTGGACATTCATCAACAGCAAGCACTAGTAAATCACTGAAAGAACCTTCCTTTAGCCTAGATTTAAAAGAATTAGCATAGAAGGAATTTCCAAATATGACAAGGTGAAGAGATCAGAAAATTTCTTCAACTCACACACACACACATGCACACATATACACACACATATCAAAATTGCTCCATAGAGCATGTTCGTGTGTGGGGGGAAAAGTCAGTAAATAAGATAAGTAAGTAAAATATGTGGTATATTAGATGATGACACATGCTATAAAGGAAAAAAAAATAATAGGATAGGGATCAAGAAAGTGTGGAATAAAAGAGTTTGGGATATTT